GGAGGTGGTGGCGGTAGTGGTGGTAGGGTGGTGGCGACAATAGTGGTGGCACGGTAGTGGTTGTGGTAGGGTGGCGGCATAGATTGTGGTGGGGGTGAGGGTAGTGGCGATGATGGTAGTGGGGTGGCCGCGATGATGGTGGTAGGGTGGTGACAGTGGTGGTGGTGATGGGGGTGGGGCAATGGGGGTGGTAGTGGGCGGTTCTAAATATTGTTTTTTAAAAAAATATTTATGAGAAATTAAAAGTCTTCGAAACATTTTTAAAAAGTCATTTCAAATATACCTTTACGAGCTTATTTTCCCTATTAAATTTGGACAGTTAATATTAGTCGTCAGATTAATTTTAAAGTAAAATTTAAAAAAATCGCAAATGCGAATAGTAAAAGTCATTTTTATTTATCTTTGAAATTTAAATTGTATTGCACTTTATTAAATAAATTTATTCTCAAGAAGTCCTATACTCTATCAATAGTATATTTTCTTCCAATTTGTTATTAGGACCCCAAATAAATTATTATTTTTTCCTGACTAGTGCATAACACCCAAAATACATAGTTAACAATAAAAATTTATATAAATGATAAATCATTTAACTCTATTTTTTCTTATTTTAAATTTTTTTAAGTATATAATTTTTGACTCATTTGACTATCAAATCTCGACCATAAAAACATATAATTACAAAATCAACAATGTAAAAACAAATCTATGAATATGATCAATGAAAACAGTTCACCTAATTCTGTTTTTTTTACTTCTCCTTTCACTTTTTAAATTAATTAGAAAAAATATTATTTAAAAAAAAAAGAATTCAATCATTCAATCTATAATATTGTATTTAGGAGATAAAATAAAATTTATTTATTTATGTAATAACTTTTATATTAGGTAAGATTTACAAGCATATGAACTCCTATATGTTAATAGGCCGGATACTGTGATAATTAAAGGTATAGTTCACTTAGATTTTAATCCAAGATAAAAAAAAATTATATTTCAATATGTAAAATTGAATATAAAATTATAAATAAAAATGTAATTTGTGTTTTCATCGGAAGGATAAAATTGGAACTAAACAAACGTTAATGGAGTTTAGGACTTCTTGGGAATACATTGTCAAAGTAGGACTTAATTGTAACATTCTTTTAAAAACTTAATACTGGAATTGAATATTTTTATGGTAATTATCATTGACACCCCTCCAAATAGATATATTTTTAATGAGACCTCCTCTATTATCTGACACATCACTGACACCCCTGTCAGATTAACGACGATAATGAGAATGTAATTTTACTAAATTAACTATGATATATTTTAGAAAAAATTTTATCCACAGCCTCGCTAGATAGGTACATCTTCAATGAAATTCTTTCTATTTTTTGAACTTTTTTACTAATTAAAATTTAGACCAATTAAAATTCGTTTCGAGCTGATTAAAATTCATTTTTTACGTATTAAAATTTGAGTCAATTAAAATTTTTATTTTTTTACGTATTAAAATTTGAGCTGGTTAAAATATAAATTTTAATCAGCTCGAATTAAATTATAATTGGCCCAAATTTTAATATGTAAAAAAATATAAATTTTAATCAGCTCGAATAAAATTTTAATCAGTCTGAATTTTAATAAATAAAAAAATATAAATTTTAGCCGACTCGAATTGAAGTTTAATCAGTGCTAGCAACTTAGGATTGAGTTCTAATCGGCTCGAATTTTAATACTTAAAAAAAAAATTAATAGGCTCAAATTTTAATATGTAAAAAAATAAATCTTAATCAGTTTGAATTTTAATGAGTAGAAAAATAAATTTTAATTGACTCTAATTTTAATATGTAAAAAAATAAAGTTTAATCGAATTTTATGTCAAAAAGTTGTTTGGGGTTTTATATAAGAGCAATTTTAGTAGTTTAAATGAATTTTTTTTGTTAGAAATGGTGGTTTAACGACAGAGAGTGTTAATCAACAGACCTTTAATTCAATGATACTCCTTACCTTGTGAAGACTTTGTCTTCTTGAGATCAAGGGCTCAAGTCTCCCCTCCCCCTCCCTCTCTTCCCTCCCAAAAAAAAAACGACAGAGAGTGTTAAGGATATTTAAATATAAACTAGAAAATGTGTTAGTAGAGAGGTCTCATTGAAAATATACATATCTAAAAGGGACGTAGATGATAATTACCTATATTTTTTAATATTTATAAACAATCAAGTGATGATTGCGAAATTAATCAAGTGAATATAATTGATTGCTTGTTTTATTATTCTAATTTTGAGTTTAATTGCAGAAAACAACTACAAATGCTTCTTTTTTTTTAAAGTAGCAATGCCTTCCAAGGATGAAGAAATAGTCTCAATTTATGATTTTCTGCAAAATACTTCTCCCGTCAACTTCTCTTTTGTTTGCATTATCATTTCGGCATGTAATTTATATGTAAAAGTTAGGGGTGTGAATCGACTCCGATGGAGTCGGAATGCATACATCCGAAACTCTGAGTACAGTCAAAGTTCATTTTTCTCTCGACTTCGATCAACTATAATTTTGTCTCCGACTCGGCTTGTCGAAGGCGGAGCAAAAGTAGAGTGAAATATAAAATCATTGATTCAAAATACACAAAATCAAATCAAAAGAGGAAAAAAAATCAATTGAAAAATCCAAATGAAAAAAAGAAAAGAAATAAAATTTCACCAAAATACAAGACAAAAAAAAAAAATCAAAAACCAAATATTTGTCTGTGTGTATTTAGGGTCTAAAATTTGGTTTAGAGACGAAATGGGATTTAGGGTCTGAAATTTGTATATACAAAAATAAAAAAAAATTCAGTGACACCCCTTTTAAATTATTATATCTTCGAGGACATCCCCTCTATTATTCAAAATATCACTGACACTTCTTCTAGCTTATATTTAAATATCACTAACATTCCCTGTCATTAAACCAGTATTTCCAATAAAAAATTATTATCTAATATACCAAAATTGTCCTACATAAACCCAAAACAATTTTTCTACATAAAAGTTAATTAAAATTCAAGCTGATTAAATTTTTTTTTTTACATATTAAAATTCAAGTTGATTATAATTTATTTTTCTACATATAACAATTTGAGCCAATTAAAATTCGATTCGAACTGATTAAATTTTATTTTTTACGTATTAAAATTCGAGCTTATTAAATTTTTTTTTTACCTATTAAAATTTGAGTCGATTTGAACTCAAGCTGAGCTGTTAGCACTAATTAAAATTCGATTCGAGTATCAAAATTTGAGTCGATTAAAATTTAATGCGAATTGATTAAAATTTGATTCAAGCCAATTAAAAATGAATTTTAATTGGCCCAAATTTGAATATGTAGGCAAATTTATAAAATAGGGGGTCTCATTGAAAGTATGTCTATCTAAAAAGACTGTAAATAAAGTTTGTTCTAAAATATATCTTGGACAATTTAATAAAATTGTATTCTAGTTAAAGTTTTTACTATGATAAAGAGTGTTAGAGAAGATTTAAAAAATAGTAGGATGTCCTTCAAAATATAATAAACTAAAAAAGTATATCTGAAATTTTTTCATATATATAAGAGAGAGAGATTTATTGTCTGAAGGCCATTGTTGAGATATGAGATGTCTGAGCTCACACTACAAATCTGAGAACTCAAATATATGAGGCGTCAACTGTGGTTCAATCGGAGGAGCATTGAGTCAACTTTGATTCAATCGGAGTGGAGCCTATAATAGAGAGAGATAACACTCATCATCGTCGAATGAAAGAAGAGAGAGAGGGAGAGGAGGGGGGGAATGAAATATTGGGGTAGGGTAGTAGTAGGCTTAGGGTTTGGCTAAGAATAGGGGTTTTTCTATTTATTAATAAATAAAAATTTACCAGACAACTAAATATTACTGATATATACCATAAGTTTTCCTCTAACACTCTTGCTAACATTCGGAAGTGTAGGATTTCGAAAGGTGGCTGCTTTTTCAAGCCGAATCAACTGCTTTGTCCCATACCAATAGGGGCGAAGCCACCTCTGGAATAGAGTGGTAGGCACATGCTCCTCACAATTTTTTTCATCATATTAGATATAGACTTTTTGAAACAAAATTTAAATACATTTAATTGTGTCCACTTTAATACTGTATTTTGATGATATCGATTTAAATAGACCCCTAACTAAGTAATTTTTAATTTTTTGAACAATGTTATGGATATTTAAATTAAGGAATTGTGATATTAAATCTAATAGTGAGTCTTAATATTTAATGAACGCCACGATCTATCTAATGGTCACTAATCATTAGGTCTTCACTAATTAAATCTCAAATTAGGTGCAACTAATATTATTGTTAACTTTTAAACATGTTTTTGATATTTCCGAATATATTTTAAACATATTGGGGTTATTTTATATTCTTTTTTAGTTGTAGGGCTATTTTATTATTATATAAAAATATGTATCGTTATGTAATAAATTATATGATCATAAATAAAAAAATTTTACTACAATTTTATGCATAAAAAATATTATTGATAATCTTCAAAAATAACAACATATTAAAAGTCGGTCCAGATCCAAGGACGGAGTCAAATTTTTGTATAATTGTACACCCATAGTAAAAGTTCTTGAATTGGCTAACCAAAAAAATTACGATTGGAATTATTTTGTAAAATATATTATATTGTGGAATATTTTTCATAGAAAAAGGAGACAAGTCATACCAATTATTATTGTAAAAATTTTCAAATCAAAATACCTTTTCCGTTCTTTTTTTTTTTTCCGGTAAAATACATGAAGGGAAATAAATCAAATTTTTAATTGACAATAAAAGAGATAAATCACAACATACTCGAGGATAAAGATATAAATGGTCAAGATAGACATTCTTGACCATTAATTAAATAATAATAACAATAATAATAAATAAATGGATAAGGCAAAATTATATTTTAAAATTTAATCACTTTTCAATTTTTCCATTTTCCTTCCGACCAGAGACGTCAAATTTACAGATGGAACAACAAAAGCTTGAGCAACAGCCAATAATTATAGCCATGAAAGGACATCCGGGCACAGGCAAGAGCACACTAGCCCACTCCATAGCTTCATCTCTCAAATGCCCTCTAATCGACAAAGACCATGTCCGTGATTCCACACAGTCTCTTCAACAAACCCTGCTCCTCCTTTCCTCGCCGCCGGCCACCGCTCACAATCTGCTTAACGACTTATCCTACGAAATCCTATTTCAAATGGGTTCGACCCAGGTGGGTTTGGGTCTCAGCGTCGTGATAGACTCGCCGCTGTCTCGCCGGACTCACCTCGACAGGTTAGAACAACTGGCGGCGGCGTCTGGGGCAAGGATTGTGATCGTTGAGTGTCAGCCGAATGATGTTTCCGAGTGGCGCCGGCGACTGGAGAGGAGGGGTGAGGCGGATGGGTCGAGTTGGCACAAGCCGGCGTCGTGGCCGGAGTTGGAGAGGCTGGTGGAGGGGTACGGTGGGTGTACGGAGTACGACGTTGGAGAGGTGCCGAAGGTGGTGGTGGACACGACCGCGGCGGTGGGTGTGGAAGAGCAGGTGGCTTTTGTGCTGGAGTTTATTGCTTCTTCTGGTGGTGGTGGTGGTGGTGGTGGTCGTCGTCGTGGTTCTTTTTGTCCCAACTAGGCAAACTGGGTCAAGTGCTGGCTTGAAATCACTGGAAGAAGAAAAGGTCGTCGGATAA